GTTGATTTTAAATCTACTCTCCATCATGACACTGTCTAATTTTTCGTGCCATTGTTTTGGTGCTTGTTTTAAGCCATATAATGATTTCACCAGTTTACAGATTTTCTTTTCCTGTCCTGGAGATGAAAACTTCTCGAGTTGTTCCATATATATTTATTTCTCTAAATCTCCATTCAGAAAAGCAATTTTAACATCCATTTGATATACTTCAAGATTTCGTAGAACAACAAACTACTTTGATCTATTTTCCTAAGTTTATAAGCAAGAATCCTAAATTAATGATATTTCCTTTCTTGAGTGCCAAATAGAATTTATCTCTATATTTCAATTTCAATATCTCCATTTCAAATTAAATCTAGAAATTATCAAATTCATGGTTCTTAAGCGAAATGTGCTTCAAAGATTACATACTTTCTTTCGAAACCTACAAAGTTTAGGTTGTGTTATTTTTAGATCACGCCTAAATTCCCCTCTCTCGAGTATCGAAATTTAAGACATCAAATCATCCAATTATTGATCAAGTAATTTGGAAGCAATGCGCAAGAATCAACACAAATAAATTCATGGAAAAACTAAAAAAAATACTTATATTAAAATTCAAACATATCTCAAGTTATGACTACATCAAACCCTAGATTAGAAGTTTAGAACATGATTAATGTAATACACACTCAAATTCAATATCTAAAACATAAAGAAGAAAAGAAATAAAAATTGGGTTGGCACTGTAATTTTTCTTCTCTTTATTGCCTCATTTTTTTTTCTAGATCAATCTCGTTTCCTTACCTATTGCGGTATTCAATACCTTTCAAAGCGGTCTTTAGGGTTGTATTTATAGTCTACTCCCATCCTCTATGACTTGAGAGCTGATTGAGCCTTAAAAGAATAAAGAAAATTTAAGAAAATCCCTTGCCTCAATGCAAGTTTACTGTCATTTATTGTCATTGTAATAATTCATTATTGTGAAAAGAAGTTTAAAACTGAAAATCGTACACTCTATTTTCTTTAACATCTCTTTCCTTTTATAATGGTAATACAAAATCTCAATGACGGCTCGCTATTTATAAAAAAAATTAGAGCAAAATCATAATTAGTAAGTACACGAATTCTTAAACTATTTTTAATGAAATTTTGGTCCAAAAACAGTACTAACTCCACGTAACAACAATAATTAAGCTCCACGACTTAATATTAAAAAACTATTGCCTAGCTCGACAATTGCTCAACTTGGTGTCTAAATCCAAATCAAAAGTCAAACACAGAGTGTTACTTTCATTTTTGTTCAGTAAGCTTATAATGACATCTCAAATAGGTCACTTAATTTTAATTTCCCACTATCAGATTAATGAATTTTGATTAAAATTGAGGATGAATAGAATTCAGAACATGTTTCGTCGGTAAATTTTACTTGATTTTTAAACCTGATAAATTTTAAATTTGGCAATGCAAAATATCTCACGTTGTTATCAGTTTCTAGGTTAAAATCCCAATTCTTCATTAGTCACTGTTTGTTGGTAATTATACTACCTCGTATCATGTCTGCAAAATCTTAAATCGAGAATAAATAGAATTCTAAGAAAATTTATGAATAGAGCTAACAAGGTGGCTAACATTGAAAGCACAATCGAGACAAATAAAAATTTGGCGACATAATTGAGATGTCACTTTAAAGTTCAGTGACCAAAAATGAAATTAACCCCTAACATAGATGGAAAATGGAATCGAGAGTCGTAGAAACATAGAATTTCAATCCTATGTACATACATGGTACAACAAGAAGGTTGCTAGCCCTTCGACGGCTGAATAGCCGAGGCATGGGCACAACCTTCCTCCCATGCCGTGCAGTGACGGGGTTGGACATTTTTATTTTGGAGGCCTAAATAAAACGCAAAAAAACTTCAAAACAACATAACAATTATATAATTGTTTTTGATACCTTGTTACGAGCGTTCCCTAAGAGTGGAACTTGGATCGGACGAGAACTGAAAATCAGAGCAACTAATATTGGAGGATGGGGATGCATAGCATGGTATTAGAATAGAAGCTTCACCAAAGAGACAACCTTGTGGACAACATGTCTTTAACAAGTATATGTTGCAAGCTGACGGAGGAGAACCAATAAGTCCAGTAGAGGATGAAACGATATGAACAGAAGGACACGATGGTCTAAAGTCATGTAGAACCTCAAATCCTTGTATCAGAACCATGATTGATTTGATGAACTTGCATAACAGTAAGAGGAGAATCTGTTTCACAAATTGGCCAAGAGTTGTGATTGATCGGAACAAGGTACATTGCAATGGTACAATAAATTCGATTCTTTGTTGGTGATCCAGTGCATTCTTTGTCGTGAAGAATTTGGGACCAACAAAACAGATTATGAACATGAAGATTTCTAGGGACGAGAAGCATGGAGATCAATTATCTAAAAATTACTACATTATGAAACTAGGACAGGCCATTTGTTAGTACTTGTTGGCCATTTCAAGCTTACTCTCAATATGTCCTACACGTGAGATAAAGGAAAAAGACATGAATGCACGAAGTCATATATTACTCACACACACTGACACACACACGATGTTTATATCTAGATGTGTGTGCACGTATGTATACTATTAACACGTTCCTTGTAGTAGCATCAGTCTCCATATCAATGCTATTTATATCAGAGAAACAAGCAAAAAAGACAATAGGGTAAATGAAAGCAGGTATAAACTCATTTCAAATTTTTGTTTTGCATTTGAACCTGGAAACTGCTGGTCTGTTATCTTCAATGTATTTGTTGGCAAGCTTACATAATCCATCATACGTAAATATTCCAGCAGCCCTTACACTTGAGCCATAAGATATACTGGGAAAATCGCCATATTTAACAACAATTACCATTTTGTACTTCTTTTCTAACATAAAGTCAATGACGCAACCGACGGATGTTGAAGCCGTAACACAAGGCGGTGGACTTCTCATAAGCATTGAAAGCGGGGCGTCTAGCTGCAAAAGCATCATTAGCAAATTGTTATGGCTTCCGTACAATGAAAAATGAAAAGAAAAAAAAAAAATTGGAAGGAAAATAATAGTAGAAAGAAAAGAAAACATAGCATCAACTCTGTGGCTAAACTCAAAAAACTATTATTAGCAACATTGCTATGGGAATGTGCAACGTGGAAAAGAAAAGAAACGAAAGCAACAAGATATTTCCATTCTTCACATTATGACTCAGCCGAACAAGATATGTGGCTGAACTCAAAACTAGCAATAAAATTTTGAGGTACAAGTCTTTCGAAGGAATAACCCAAGTTCACGGGTTTTTTCATGAATGCGAACCCACCACCCTTTACTTCCTGGACAAAAGAAGCAGCTAATAAGCACTTTTGGACATTATCTCAATTTTTTTGGTCTTAACTAGGTCAGAATTTCTGAATTCAAGAGGTCCTGCACCGTTATCTCAACTACTTTTAATATGATATCATTCTCCACAATGCCCCAAAGCTTGTAGATTAACACTCAAAAGTAAATTAAACATGTTTATTATCCGCAATCTAGATATACACCAATATTTTAAACTCTGCGGTATCAACAGTCGAGAACTGCAACTTCACGACTTGGGAACTTTGCTGTGATGCCTTAATGGAACCATATATAAACCCGGGTTGCACCATACTGTCAGTTGAATTTGTCGACATGGGTTCATTCAACATGTCCACCAAAAAGACTCCTTTTGAGGCTGCCATGGATAGCTTCCATGTTGATCAAGCCTTTAAAATTCCCAAACGACAACCATCATCAGCTCAAGTCAATAAATGGTCCCAAGTACAATTTGAAAGCAAATCAGCTACATACAGTCATTGCTGAAGATGAGCTGCTGGGATTGATCTTGAGACTAGGATTTCCTAGCTAAGCTAAACTTATATGTAGATTTGCATGTCCTGATGTAGCTTCCTCTTTATTTATTTCTGAGTCTTTCATTTAGTCATTGTTCTGAGCTTTCTTTGCCTTATAATCCAAGAAGAAGACACCCAATTTTATCTACTATTGTTATCTCTTCACCCCTTTCTAATAACTGCTGTTTACTTGGTGATTACTAGCTTCCATGCATAGATGCTCCTGCAACTTCAACTAAGAAACAAGAATTATATGCTCCTTCTCTAACTAGGTTGAATTCATTCTGCATTCTCCAGGAATACAATTAAGATTTCTCAGATCTAATATGATTCCATTTTTTTGGTTTTCCTTGACTATTCATTAATAAAATAAGCAGTGTTCCTCTTCTAGTTATCCATTTCAAAAATATGATGTCTCTTCTTTACACAAACTGAAATTTCGATTGAATTTCTTGTATTATTGATCAAACTCAAAGGTTATTAATACAAAATTCAATTCTAATCATATCTATGAAAGGAAAAGGAAAAAGGAAATAATAAATTCCTATTACTAAAAGAAAAAATATTAATTCCAAACAAGACTAGGATGTTAGTTAGAAAAAAATATTTCCATAATCTCCTATTCTAACATTTCTGTTCCAACTCTCCCCTTAAGTTGGTGCATTGATATAACACATGCCCAACTTGAATGGGTGATGTGTAGAATGGCCCACTACTTGGAAAACCGTTGCTCAACTCTGATTGCAACTCCAAGTAGTAAAAACCTACCCTCTCTACCCGTTCAGGGTTACTTGGGATATATGCAAAGCAGAAGACCAGCAGCAAAAGACTGAAGCCCACACATAGACAGCACACACAAGAGGGTGTAAAATCTTCAAACACAGCAAAGACCCTTCACACACATCCACAAACAGCTGACAAGTAGAAAGCCAAAAACCTGTCTCTGACAATGCTTGCGCGCGCAGCACAAGCGTTGCATGCACAACAGAAAGGGTCACCTAAGCTTGGGTTTGATAGAGTCAGCACCCATGGGAAGGTGTGTTACTTTGATACTATGTTGGACTATTAGATCTAAAATCGTAAGCTGTTAGATAGGGCCAATTATATACCATTAAATATTATCTTCAACATACCCGCTCACATGTAAATGTGATTTACTTTTTCCCATTGAAATCTAACACGTGCACATTTCATTTAATCAGATGGCGGTGGGTCTTGAACCTAGGACCTTTTACATGCTTTGACATTATGCTTGAAATTTAGATTAAATTTCTTGTATTATTCATCAAACTAAGATTATTTATACAAGATTCAATTCTTATCCAATCTATGGAAGGAAAAGGAAAATAGAAACTATATAAAATCTTATTACTAAAAGGAAATATATTAATTCCTAACTACACTAGAATATAAGCTAGAAGGAAATATTTCCATAATCTCCTATTCTAATTTTTCTATTTTTGACTAACAAGATGATCTCTTAATCCCAGTGATCAAATCCATAGAGGAAGCTTATAATGTCAAGGATTTATGCTCAAGTCTATGAGATCTCCACTTTTCGGAAAAACTTAAGAGACCACTACTAAGACAGGACATGAATGAAGGAAGAGAATGTAAGAATTATCAAGGTCCAACTCCACAGTCTAGTATAATGGGGAAGTCAAAGACTGGACAATAGAAAAAATAAGACAGAAAATAAGGAAATGCAGAAATCAGAAATTAATCTCCTCACCCCTTTTGGATTTTAATTGGTCTAAGATACTATTCTTGAATGAGCGGTCTAAAAGTATAAGCTCTAAAAGTTTAAGCAGTAAGAAATGAACATAACTAATGTGTTAGTCTATCTTTTCACCACGGTCCCTCAAGTGCAGGACATATTTAATTTTTGCTTCAAAGGCCAGGCTTATGGAATTGAAATAAATGGGTGACAACTAGACTTGAACTCATATCTTTAGGTACTGTTAGTAATATTGAGCCTAACTCCACCTAATAAAATCGGCTTATTAGGGGAGGATTGCCCTCATCTTATTAAGTGGATCATTTATATTTTCTCAAGTAATGTAGAGGATTGTCCTCATCTTATTAAGTGGATCATTTATATTTTCTCAAGTAATGTGGAATTCTAATACGTCCCCTCACGCACAGCGTGGACCATGCCAAACAACTGTGAAGAAATCGATATTGGGTGGCACTCAACATTGCATAATTGGGCCTAACTCTGATACCATGTTAGTAATATTGAGCCTAACTCCACCTAATAAAACCGGCTTATTAGGGGAGGATTGCCCTCACCTTATTAAGTGGATCATTTATATTTTCCCAAACAATGTGGAATTCTAATAGGTACCTTGACACAATATTACTGCATTAACTAATAACTTAAAAAGTGTTAAAGAATCACCTTATTAAGTTGATCATTTATATTTTCCCAAACAATGTGGAATTCTAATAGGTACCTTGACACAATATTACTGCATAAACTAATAACTTAAATAGTGTTAAAGACGAGATGAATCTATCCATTTATATTTATATCTGCAACACTTCCCTTAAAGGTAAGTCATTCATCTTCTTCAAATACCTGACACTGAAATTTTTATAAATGGGAGGCGCTAAATCTAAACCCACAATCTTTGCCTACTACAATGCCACATTGAATGATCATTTTGTCTAAATGGTCAAGCTATTAAGAATGGAATGAACTTATATATTGACACAAATTAGAGTAAAAATTAATTTTGATGAGAAAATATTACAACTTTTATAGCCTATTCTAGGATTTACAAGAAAGGAAAAATATCCTGACAGCCACTCTACAAATACAATGAAATAGGAACTATTTTACAGAAGGAAAGAACAATCAGCAGGTCCTAATTTTATACTATAGGCTATTGTACATGTTTTTCGTAGGCTCTGCTAGTTAACCTTTTGCTGGCATAAAATTCCAGCTTTTCTACATTTATATTCATATATTTTTCAACAATTATTAACAGCATAATATCATAATAATCAGTCACGGACTTTAATACACACCACTGTCACCTGCAACTCTATGTAATATTGGCTGAATTAAATCACTATACCACAATAAATTTCAATCAAAAGTTCAAAATTCTGCAATAATGACAGTTGGAAAAGAAATTGGAAATTTGTTTTGGAGTAAAAACATAAAAAATACGTAAATTATAGAGTGCTTGTTTGGATTTGTTTATAAGTTGCTAAAATAATAATGTGATAGAAATGAATGGTGAATAAGTGGGTAATAGTTGTCGGTCCTACAAATGTGTGGTTTAAAGTTTCCTTTTGGCCTTTAAATTATAATGTGATTATAATCAAATCCAAACAGGCACAATTTATGTTGGATAATAATAACTGCAGCACATGGTTATTGCCTACTATTATCATGTCGAAAATTGATTCGTAGAGACTTATAGTTTATGGGCTTCCACAGGTTGCAGGGAAAGAGTAGAATCAACAACATCATATCATAAGCTCACACAGTATAAAGATTTGGGGAGAAAAAAAAAGTTGTATCCATATCCACAACCAAAAAAAAAAAGTTAAAGTTAGTTGTTAGCTACAGAGCTTAGAATGAAGTACCTTATCACAGTCTTCTCGATGCAGTATCCCCACACAGCCACCCCAGTCATCTATAATAGGCACAACTGGATCATTAAAGAAACGCATTACCACTTGCTTCAGTCGCAAGGTAGCTTGCAGTGGCCGAGCTTCATCAAATGGTGTCATGATGTGCTCAATTGCATCACTAGCAGATACCTATAATAGATTATAGACAGAAAAGAATATGAATTGGACTTGAGAAAACGAATTGACATGTAAACTATGTGGAAACATTATAATATTCTTATGACTTGCATGCTTGAAAGATACAAAAAAATCAAATACCTGAAAAAGTAGGCGAGGGCTCAATAATGATGAGTTCAAACCTAGCAATGCCTCAAGGCGTACTGCAACCTGCAATTAATGCATGGATTATATTCAAGGAACATACTCAATGAAAGAAAGAACCAATCTTACATCAACAGAGCCATACACTAGGAGTCTAAGAGTAAAGCAATAAAGGGAAGTAGTAGAATGAGTAGAAGAAGAATAAAAGATACATTAATTCGTAAAAGAAGGCTCCAATAATTCTCACAATGCTCTGTAATAAAGAGTGCTTTGTGACTAAATCATTACAGAACCACATATTTATTAACAAGGAAGAACTCTGAGAAATAAGTTGGAGCAGCATTTTAATAGGTTTGCGCAATGCCCTGGTTACTTTAGTGCCATATATTATACGTAGATATCCATTTAATTACACGAATGCGACAGCTTATTCAGAAAAATTATATATATAACAAAGCATGACATAGAAGTTAAAGGGAAGCTATTGTCATTGGTGTGACAAGGTATTAGGTGGAAAATGTGGAACTGTAACAGAAAGGTCAAGAATCAGAGACATATTCATTAATTAAGGAAAAAATAGTGATTGCAATATACTCAACTAAATTACACAGCAATTTATTAAACGGAACTTTTAATTTATCACTATAAGTTTGCATTCCTGAATATGAAACCAGCACATACCATGCCTCCTCGACTAGTCCATGATATGTCCTTCCATTTGCCAACAATTTTCTTGAGATTCTGTAAAGCCAAGTCAACCTGCCAAACAAGCAGATACTTGTTTAAAATCTACTAAGCTTTCTGAATCCCAACTTGTTTTAAGTAGCATTACAGATTACCAGTCTAGGATTTTCTTGATATTTAAGAAGTCAATCTCGAGCAAATCAAGGAAAAGGTCAAATGACCGGTTTCTAACTTAGTTCTTAATTATATTTTAATTTTAGGTTAACGCAAATAGCTTGAAAACTTCAAAAGGCCATGCTAATCACAAGTTGCAAATAAACCCCAGAACAATATTCGTCTTTCATTCAGATTATGAACTTTCTAGTTCAGATTTCATATGCTTTCTCTGGGCTCAAAAGATCTAGGCAATGAGTAGACTAGTTATTAAATGGATTATGCTATATATAGAAAATTTTCAGGAATGATGGTCTCATAAGGTATCTCCCTCTAACAAGCCACTTCTGAAAGAATCATCAGGGATAAACATCGATTTATCTACCATATCAGCTCCAATTAGTTGGCCTTTCCTTTTCTCCCAGTCAGCCATCATCTGCCAATTAGTTAGCTAAAGTCTAAAGGTAATTCTGATGCTTCTGGTTGATGAGGCATCATAGGAATTGCTACAGGCTAATCTTTGTGAGAATATGCTCCATTCCTTTGACAATTTGACCCAAGGTCACGCTGGAGATCACATGATATTTCTTGGTATTCAATTTCGTACTTTGAATTGCATCTACAGTTTCATATGAAATTGGACTAAAAAAAGTCTAAAATTGATCTATTGCAACAAAGTAAAATCCTCATAAAGTTTCCACTTCGTAAAAATAGTAATATTTCTTATTTGCCAATGTTATTTTCAAGTTCCATAATTTCTTCTTTCTTTTTCCGTTCTTTAGCCAATTGGGATGTTCTCACGCTCAATATAGGATTTCTTTTTTTTTCCTTAATTGCCAAAAAGTGTTATAAGGGTAATTAATTTTATAAGAATTGGAAGATTCCAGATTCAATTTGCTTCTTAACCTATTTCTGGCTCATGTTTATAAACACTCACAATTTTTTATCCACACATTTGGAGGGATCTACAAGTACTACCACTTATCACAACTCATTTCCATCTATTCATAATTTGAACAATTTATAAACACTTCTCAAACATGCTCTTACTTTCACCTCACTTTGGTGAAGGTGATAGGGTTGACTCCTTCACCTCTTGTAATTCTTCGCCATTGATTGATAAGTACATGAAAGATATAATTTCCCCGGAAAAAGAGAGAAGAGGATAGAAAGAGAGATAGAAATGAAATGTTACAAAAAAACTCCTTGTACCCTGGTCATTTCGCATCTAGTGCTGAAAATGGTGCACCCTGTTAGGAGAATTAATCGCACTGAGTGTTATCATGCCTTTTCATATATCTTCTTAGATTTAGGCACACATTTTCAAATTTCTTCATGTGTCATCCATATTTTTTTTTTGATAGGTAATCACGTAAATTTTATAAATAAAAAATAAAAGATAATACACAAGGAGTGCATTATAAAGTTAAACAAGATAGAAACGATAAAAAATTTGAAAACCCTTCTATCGGATTAACGGTTGCAGCCTTAAACCAACTATACAAAGTCAAGTAAAACA